GGTAGGGGAATCTGACGCAATCGCTGGTAAAGAGTCTGCTGGAGGGAGGGAAGGAGGGAGGGAGGGAGGGAGGGAGGAAAGAAGGGAAAAAGAAAAAGAAAAAAATTGGGACAGGTACTCATTATGTAGTCCTAGCTGGCCTTGAACTCATGGCAATTCTCCTGCCTCAACCTCCGGAGTAGTTAGGATGGCAGGCGTGCGCCACCACATCCAAGTGTCGCTTTGCAGATCGTCAGAGCGGCAGTTCACTTGGATTCACAGAAAGCTAGCGGATTTCTGAGGGGGCGTGGCCCAATCGGCCTGGCCCCGCCCCCAGCCCCCGCTGGGTCCTAGCGCGGAGCCGAGGCCCCCGGACACTCCTCCCTCCCATCCAGGCGACTGTCACTTGTTACTGTAGCAGACTCTTTACCAGCGATTGCGTCAGATTCCCGATCCAGTTCCCGCAAGTTCTTTCCCTCTGGCTCCCAACCTGGCTCTCGTCCCCACTTCCTCCCTCCAGGACCCTCTAACCATCCCCTGTGTCCTCCCCTACTCGAGTGCTGTGCATCTCCAGGAGCGACCTTGACCTCTCTGGACATCATTTGTCCAGCTCTGGTCTGAGGACGGTCATCCTTCCTACTGTGGCTGTGCCCGCTGCACGGAGGACTGCTGGCAACTCCAGAGGTCCCAGCAGGGGAAACTGAGGCTCGGAAGCTGGGCTGGGCCTCGTGGACTCGAGTGTGTTGGTTAGAACTTGGAAAGGGTGTTGCCAAAGTGGGTCCCCAGTTGCCACTCACCGTCTGGATTGAGAATCCTGACAGCCTCCGGGTCGGGGGTTGGTTCTGGGTTCGAGTCCTCCCGGCTCTGGTTGGCTTGCAGCCGGCTCAGCAGGTCCTGGAAACGACCCCGTAGCTCGTCGTCGCTGAGTTGGGACTCGGGGTGGGAGCGTCGCTGCTCGGGCATTGCCAGGGCGTCCCCCTGCGATGGCCACGACAGCAGCAGCAGCAGCAGCAGCAGCAACAGCAGGAACCTCAGTTGAGAGCCTTCTGGAGGCTGGGCCTGGAGTGCGGGCAGAGCCATGTCGCTTGTCCTGAGTGTGGCTTTGAGTTAAGCCCTCTGCAGCCGCCTTTATACCCACTGGACTCTGTCCGCCCCGCCCCCGCGTGCGATGCCAACTCGGGTGACCAGGCTAATCTGTCGGGCGGGAATCCCAGGGCTCCGCAGGGGGAGGGGGCGGTACCTCTCGGCTCAGGAGAGCTGACCGTCCCCACAGAACATGTGATGGAGTCCAGACCGAAGTTCAAGTGGCTTCTTCCTTCCCCTTGGGAGCAGGGCTCTCTCCCTTTCCCCTTTTTCCTCTCTCCCTCCCTGCTCCCCCCACCCCCATCAAAAGAGAAGAAGCCAAGGAAAACCTAGAAAAGACAAGTTCAGGCAAGTCACCCTATGCCTCAGTGTCCCAGGAGTAGACTTTACAGCCTTGCCCAGAAGGGCAAACGAGGGCAAACTGCACCTGTTCAGTGTCCTCTGTGACTCCTACTAATCCTTCAAAACCCTGCGCGAACAGCCCCTACTTCAGGATCCTTCGCTAGATTTACCTTTCCAGGATGACTGGGTTCACACACACCCTGCCCTGTGCCTGCCTCAGTATCCCCAGACCAGGAGAGAGAGACGAGAGGAAATCTGCTGTGGGTCTCCTTCCAGTCAGGAGGCAGAGGTGGCTGCAGGGGGAGGGCATTTGGTCTTAGGCTCGGGCAGAAGATGGAGGAGGAGAATGAAGGTACCAGGAGCCCTGTCCACGGTCAGCCTGGGCCCCGAAAGGGCTGTAGAGCCTCTGGTGAGACAGGAGTGAGCAACTAGAGGCACCAGGTGTCATCAAGGGCTCCTGCTGGGGTCTGGGGCACCTAGGCTTCCCTCCCCAAATGTACTTACTGCTGGGTGGCCTCTGACGCGTGGGGACACTCCAGGTTATGACTGACTAGGGGGCTCCATGTCCCCATGTGAAGACAAGGTCCTTACCCGCCGCCATCCCTCTGTCCCACTGGCATGGTGCTCACTGGACAGGAGGTGGAAGCCCAGGCTGACCCCAGAACCTCCCCCACCCCCTACCCCCACCCCCGCTGATCCCAGACCCCGCCTCCTCAGATCTAAGCCCCGCCCCCGATGCACTAGACCCCTCCTCCTGTAGACCCAGGCCCCACCCCCAGAACTACCGTTTTGCTCCAGGACCCTTTGCCTAAGTGGGTGACTCTTCAAGATCAATGTGGAGGGAGGTGGCCCCACCCTCGTGCTAGCAGCTGTGGGCAGTTTGAGGTCACTGCACCCCGTGAGGAGGTGTGGTGTGGTGGACACCCGGCTGGTGAGAGTGGGGGTTCTGGGATTATTTTCATTTCTGATCGTTTTTCCCCAAATTTAAGTCTCAGAGTTGGAGTCTCTGCCCTGGGTGAGCTGCTCATCTGTGGATCAACGGCCTGGATCATACTGGGGCCTTCTGGTCCCAGGCCAACCTGCGAGCCTCAGTTTCTCTTTCTGTGAAAGTCTCCTGTGGTCTATATCTTCAGGGTGGGGGTACAGTGAGGGTGGGTGGGGCGCATGCTACAAATTGAGGGACGATCCCGCATTCCCACGTGACTGAGCAAGTTCCTCAGCCTCTCTATGCTACAGAGGAAAGGCCAGGGATCAGGAGACCGCTTTTTGCTGTGTGAGATGAGAGGTTGAGGCAGGACCATCACAGGTCACAGGTGGGGAAACTGAGGCTGGAGCACGGCCCAGGGTCTCTTGGGATACGGATGGCTGTATAGATGTGGGGCATGGGAGTGACCCGAGCGGCTGCTCAGGTCCACGCGGGGAGCCACGTGCGGTGGCCCTGGTACCCACCCTTTGAGACTGAGATGGATGCTAAGGACAAGTCTTGATGCTCTCAGCACTTCTGTACCCCCACCTAATGCTGCAGGCCGGGGATGCAACCTTCATCCTGTGGGATCACCACAGGCTTTGGTAGAGAGCTAGAGACGCCCATATGACCGGAGTACACAGTAGGGGCTCAGTAAATGCACCTTTGCACCTTGATGCCATTCAAACTCACAGCGGCTTGTTGAGAGAGACCCAGGCCCATAGTCTCAGGCAGGTGTCAGGATGCGATTTGGGGGGAGAAACATTTATGTCGTCAGAGGCCTAGGGACAGTTCCTCTAGGTCCATAGCACTCTCACCCTGTGAATCCAAACCCACAATCCCCCTGCCTCAGTCTCTTGAGTGTCAAGATGGCAGAAAATGAGCTGCCAAGCTCTTCCTTGCTATATAGCATTCCACCCTTCCTACAGTGTGGCGTCTGGGCCGACGACCGACCGGGCATCTGTCTCTTTAAGACCAGAATCAGTCAGTCATTTACTTTATTCATGGAATGTTCTCCAAAGGGCTCTGGACCAGCAAGGCTCCATGGGGTCCCCATCCTCCGATAAGCATCATCATGCCCCAAACACAGATTTCTGGTTCACAAAACTCTGGAATGTGGCATCGTGCCAACTTGGCTTCTCTTTCCTCAAAATCCTCAGCTGATGACCTCATAACCGGTCCTGGGGCTGCGTAAGGGAGCAGGGTAGCCCAACTGTGGGCTGCCAGCCAACCATGACCTCAGCGGCCTGGGACCCTGACTTCCTCTCCAGAAACAGCATTCCTGGGTCCTGAGGCCACACTCTGGGGCAGAGGTGAGCTGCCCCCGCTGGGATAACCTCACCCTTGTCAACACAAGAAAGCACAAACTTTCCTGCCCTAGGGACAGCACCTCGTGATCCCTGCAGATCAATTTCAAATGTCCTGAGAGTCTCCAGAGGACAGGGCAACCTGCTGTCCCCATGCCGTGATGATTTCGGGAGTCAGGGAAGTCCCGGGTCACCTCTGCTTCCAGAGGAATAGCCGAGGCTTGGATGGTGCTGCCAGCCCAGGACTGACTAACTAAATTTAAGATGATTAAATTCTTAGCAACAATGTTGGTTTCAGGCAGTCAGAGCTCAGATAAGTTTGGGCAAACTTCATATAGAACTCCCTCCTGCACATCTCTTACCCTACTTTCAGTGCTGTCTTCCTATCTAAGCCTTGCGAGCTCTCCTCCTCAGTCCCCCCCCAGCTGAGGGGCCTCTGTCTGCTACTGAGCCCCATCCCGGCCTGACTTCCTGATGCATGGATTTACTTACTGAAATTGTTTTATTGTTCTAAAGCACATGACACATAAATGTACTATTTTATGTAATACAGACATCTTCCCCTCTTGAGTTCTAGAGCATTCCACCCCATAGAAAGTACAGACATTCTCATCCTGCCTGACCCCCCTCCCTATCTGCCAGGCTCCTCCAAAGCTGGTGGTATAGTGACAATTTTAGTTTCTTCAAAAAACACAGAAATATTATAAGAATATGTTTTGTTTTAATCCCAGGTGTGGGATATGGGACAGCTTCCACACATGGTCCCTGACTTCCTCTTCAGAAACAGCATCCCTGGGTCCCAAGGCCACACACACTCTGGGGCAGAGGTGAGCTGGGACCACACCACAGACTGTCCACAGCAGCTGACCATGGTTTTCCCCGTGCCCTGGCAAGGGTGTGATTTTGCAGCTGCAGATAGTTTCTGTGCCTATGTGACATTTGGACTTCTGGGGACCCTTCAGAGGGTACATAAATGCTAGGGCCTAAAAGTGGGTTTTTGGTTGTTGTTGTTGGTCATGGTTTTGTGCAAAAAAGAAACAACAAGAAAAAGAAATTAGATATCCTGACTACAAAGATCGACCTTGCCCCGAGGAACTTGATGCCCCTAACCAGCAGGAAGTGGTCAAACAATAACACTGTACCCTGCTCCTCTCTGTCCCTTCTTGATCCTCTCTAGTGTTGGGGGGTTAGAAGAAAGAAGGACCCACAAAGTAGCAAAAGTCCAGGTACACTGACCCTCTGGGCTCTTTTGCCTGCTCTGTCCCCCCAGAGTGACACAGTAGCTGTCCCTGTGAGGTTTGTAGTGCCAGGCCTTCCTCCAGCCAGGCCACCATGAGTGCGAGCCTGCTCCTCCTCTGCTGGGTGCTTTAAGGGGGAAAATGCTGTGTCATGAGGAGACGGAAGAGCTGTTGCCTGCTGCTCCTGTGAAAGCATCCAGGCATGCAAAAGTGAACAGTTACAGGAAAACAGCCCCTAGGAAGTGAGGCTGGAGGATTGGGGCTTAGCCAGGTCATGAAGGGTAACTAACCTACAACATCCCAGCTCAAAATAGACTAAATAGAAGGTTGGGGCTCGCTTGGTACAGTGCCTAGAGCTCAGTTTGAAGGGTGATTGTGGCTCCGTTGATAAAGTGCTTGGAGCTCAGTTGATAAAGTGCTTGTAGCTCAGTTGATAAAGTGCTTGTAGCTCAGTTGATAGTGTGCTTGGAGCTCAGTTGGAAGGGTGCTTGGATCTAGGTCTCAGGCCCTCCAGAAATGAGCTCAGGATGGAAGACAGGCTGGTAGACAAAAGCCAGTGTTCCTCGGGAACTTGTGAAATGGGTCTTCTGTCCCCAAAAGGAGTCCCTTAGAATCCACAGTTTGCCCACCCGGGCTTGTGTTCTCTCGCACAGTCCTAGCCAGGGGCAGATTTCTTTCTCTGTCCTCTGCATGCTTCCAGATGCCTCTGGATATATTCTCTTTACCCACAATACGAACCTACCCCCCATAAGGAAACAGCCACTTAACAGTTTCTATACTGTGCCCCCTAGCATACTTACACAGTACTTACAGCTCAGTGGATAGAGTCCTTGCCTAGTGTGCACAAGGCCATGGGTTCCATCCGCAGCACCACATAAACCAGGATGAGACCTGCACACCTGTCACCCCATCACCAAGGCTAGGCTCGGGATCAGGAGTCCAAGGTCATCCTTGGACACTGAGTGAGTTGGAGGCCAGCCTGCTCTATACAAATGATGTCTCAAAAAAAGACATCAGAAAAAAAAAAAAAAAAAAAAAAGACATCAGAAGGCAGAGGCTGAGGGTGCCTGTGGCCCACTCGATTATTGGTTATGTTCACTTTATTTGAGTGCATGTTGGGGTCCTGCACATATGTCTGTGCACCGCATGGGTGTCTGCTGCCCAGCGATAGCAAAGACATTGAGGGCTCCCCTAAGCTGGGGTTATACTTGTGGGAGGAGAAATTCGAACCTGGGTCGATGGGAGAGCACTTTTCTAGCACAGGGAAGGCGGATCAACTTGTTTGACACCCCCCACCCCATCCTGTTTCTATGCAAATAAGGCCCATGTTTCCACCAATCACAGAATAGGCTTTCACGCAAAGGCTCTCAGGCCCTGTACCTCCTCCTGCGGGCTTGCCACTGTGGACTGAACGCAGGGGAGGCACGGATGGACCAGAGGACACAGAACACACTGCGAGACAGGCGGGGCCCTAGGTTCACTGGCCAGCGATGTAGGCAAATGAAAGAGCCCAGCCTCAGGGTGGAGCTTTAGCGATGGCTCGGCGGTTAAGACTGCCTGCTGCTCCTCCTGGGACTCAGGTTCGGTTCCCAGCACCCACAGGTGGTCACAACTGGCTGTAACTGCGACCTCCTCCGTGCCTCCGTGGGCATGGGGCATACACATGGTGCACAGACATGCACAAAGCACTCATCAGCTAAAGTAAAATAGAAAGAGATAAAAGACAACCGCTACATAAAAGTCTGTCTTCCCTGGGAGTGTGTGCCCAAGAGACTGAGGAGCATAGCCGATGGTCCAAGACCTAGAGATCGACTCAAAGAAAATAAACCACCAAGGCTGGCAGGGACGGGAGGCACCTGCACGCACGGATTATACTCCTATTTGTTTTCTTTTTATAGCTTCTGGCGTTTGGAGAAAATCTCTGTAGAAACATTAACTCTTCAGAGCAAAAGGATCAGAAATATCCCTGATCAAAGCCGGCCGGGCACGGCCTAACCTGAAAACCTGCTGGTGACGATGGACACTCGTGGATCTATGACCGTGGACCTGTGAATGTGCATACTAGGGGACATCACAACCTTGATAACACACCAGACTGGCCCAGAGGGCTGACTAGAACTGTGTGTGCGCACCTGGGCTCAGGCCAGTCACCGTAGAAGGAGAGAACCCACTCCTGAAAGTTGTCCTCTGATGTTTACAGGTTTCTCATGGCGTGTTTACACCCAGGCCAAATTAAATGTAAATGTAAGTTGTAGGCCAGCTCAGTGGGTAGAGGTGCTTGTAGCTTGGTTGATGGAGTTTTTGTAGCTACATTGGTGGAGTATTTACTTTAGCATCCACAAGTCCCTTGCAGGGACTCTGGGAGAAAGTGATAGCCAAGCCCCTGTCTCAGAGGCCATTAGGGAGGACAGTCGGCTGACCCTCTGCAGGGTCCCACATGCCTCTTGCTGGAACCCTTGGCAAAGCATCTCCCAACGTCAGCCCCCCATTTCCCCGGCCTGGTTCTCGTGGCCACCCCTATACTCTTGCTGTGTACCCTGTGCATTTATAAAGTACACACTGCATGATGGGCCTTGGCAGAACTCAGAGATGGAACCTCCACAGGCAGGTGTATGCTCGGTAGTTATCAGGGGAAACAGACCTGACGTGGGTCAACCCGCATCCCCACAGCCTCATCTTGACTGCCAGGGCTCTCTCTGATCCTTGGTGCCCTTGAGGTAAAGTAAGACTCTACCGATAGATAGGTAGGTAGGTAGACAGACAGACAGACAGACAGACAGGATCAGGAGCTGGAGAGCTGGCTCCGTGGCTCACTGCTGCTCTTGCAGAGTACCCAGGTTCAGTTCCCAGCACCCACATGGAAATGACAGAAAGAGCATAGAGTAAGAGACAAAGACAGAGGAGGGGGAAGGGAGAGGGAGCACAGAGAGGGAGGAGGGGGATAAAAGACTGCCTCTGGATTGAAAGGGGACAGACTTGGCCCATAGGCAAATGGAGGTTTACAAAGGTAAAGGGAGAACCCCTGGGTTAAGATGAGGTGTTGAATTTTAATTGGGCACGTTAATTAGGTGAGCCAAAGGGGCTTTTGATTGCTGGACTTCAGTACTTGGTAGCATTGACCTTGGTAGTCAGCCTCAGGAGGAGGAAGTGGCCAAATTAGGGAACAAACCTTGGGAGCTTGCTTTAGGAATGAGATCTAATGGATTAGCAAGGAGAAGAGGGAAAGGAGAAAGACTAGGGCTCAGGCGGGCTACAGCCCTTCAGTGTGACTCTCACAACCATCCTAACTCCAGCTCCAGAGAATCTGACGTCCCCCTCCAGCCTCTGAGGTGCCTGCATGCACGTACCAGGCAGGCAAAGCACCTATACACATACATTTTTTTTTTTTTAAGTTTACAAATGCATGAAATTTTTAAGATAAATGTCTGAAATGTGCCACTTGGTCTTTCTGCTTTCCCATTTCTGTTTCTGGCTCGATCTCCGTTGTGCTCCCCAGTCCCTTATCAGCCCTGAGCCAGGGGAGGCCAGGGGCCCCATCTCCAGTTCCCGGGCACCTGGGACATGTCTGGGCAGGTCTGGGCACTTGTAAAGGATGCATATGCCTTGGAAACAAGTTCCCAGAGGCAGAGGCCTGAAGGCGGACGGTGGAGTGGAGGTAGGACTGTCTTAGGTCCATGGGAGGACTGTTTGTCCACCTCAATCCCATTCCAGCCAGTCACACTAAGCAAATCCCCAGTGTGGTCCTTTTCCTCCCAGATATGGGGGTTTAAGTGTCATATAGTTTACAGGTGTTAATGTGTGTTTTGAGAGAGGGTCTTGGCCAGGCATGGTGGCACACACCTTTAATCCCAGCACTCAGGAGGCAGAGGATTTCTGTGCACTCAAGGCCAGCCTGGTCTACAGAGTGAGTTCCATGACAGCCAGGGCTACACAGAAGCAGCCCTCCCTGTCTCAAAAAACCAAACAAAACAAAAAAACAAATAAATAAACAAAAGACAAGGAGGGTCTCCGGCAGGAAGCTCATGTCTTTGAAGAGCCCAGAGTTATCCCAAGCTTTGCTCTGTGGCCCTATTTTACTGCAAGCCCTCAAGCCCTGCTCTCAACTCGGTTGCAGTAAAAGCACCTGGCCTGCACCAGAGAAGACCTCTGCTTTGTTAGAGTAGGCTTGGGCTTGTATTGTAAACAGTCACATCCCAGGACTAACCCTCTGCTTACAAATTTCTTTTCTTTTCTTTTGGTTTTTCGAGACAGGGTTTCTCTGTATAGCCCTGGCTGTCCTGGAACTCACTCTGTAGACCAAGCTGGCCTCGAACTCAGAAATCCACCTGCCTCTGCCTCCCAAGTGGTGGGATTAAAGGCGTGCGCCACCAACGCCTAGCTACAAATTTCTTCTTTCCTATGCTTCAAAAGGAGACGGCTCCTGCTCTTCAAGGCCTTTACCGTACCTGACCTTAGCCGGTTAGAAGCGCTTCCTCATGGTGAATAAAGTTGCTTTTGGTTTATTCTGACTTTTGTGTCCCTTCCTCATGATTTGTGTACCCAGGAACCCTAACACTCACTGGGGTTCAAACTCAGATTCTCAGGCTTGGCAGTAAGTGCCCTCACCTGCCGGGCCATCTCACTGGCCCAAGATATATTCCATATGGAAAAAAGCACAGAGGCATAGAGTACCCCAAGTCCCTTGCAGGTCCAAGCACGAGGCTTCCGAGCACCCCAAGTCCTCCTAGAACACGGCTTAGGGCTAAGCACAGACGGAGAGTGTGCTGGGCCACACAGTGTTAGCCTGACCATGCAGTGCCAGCCAGGAGGAGTCTCCGTCGTTCACTAACCTATCACTGTCAGCTCATCTCTCCTGCAAGGTGGTCCGACCAGATGTCCGAGCTGTGTGGAACGTTTGCCAGAGGCAAGTTAAGTTCTTGCTTTGGCTGCCCCTGGCTTCACCATTCTCCTTGGAGTATGAGACTCCTGGGGAACTTCTAATGTTTTGGGGTCCCTTGTTTACTATTCTGATAGGCAATAGAGGGCCCAGGTGTCCTTCAGACATTTCTGTCCAGGTGTTACACTGTCTGGCCCGTGTCCACTGATTGCCCAGCTGGGAATGTCAGCAAGCCCCTGTAAACCCAACCGGAACCATGGCATCCTGTGTCCCCACCGCTTACTGTTGGTTTATGACTTCCTATGACTATAAAAGTTTGCAGCGCGTGACAGTCAGGGTGACAGGAATCTGTGTTCCTACACCAGAGTCACGAGCCCTGGCTTGGCAAAAATCACCCCGTTTCTTCCTTTTTGTCAAGCAGGACTCAGCTAACCAGAGAAATTTCAGGCCGTGAGAACCACAGGTATAGGGAAGCTGAGGTCTGGCCTCCACCTTGGGATTCTCCAGACCCCTACAATAAGGCTGGGTTTGTGTGAGGCTGAGGGGCCATCCCAATCTACTCCAAAAAGAGTTATAGGTGTTGGTTCACATCTTTGACCCCAGACCCAGGAGGGCTAAGATAGGAAGATGGTTTCCAGGCCAGTAGTCGGAGTCTGGCCATTGTGGACTGTAGCGAGACCCCAGTCATTTGAACCTGCTCTAAGTCCCTGGTAGGTGACACTGGATGCACAATGACAGGTTTCAGCAACTTTATTGGTTTCTAGGTAAAGAGCATGGAGTTTTCCAGAGTGCGGCCTGGCAGGCCCTTCTCCCTTCTATTCCCTGGGGTCTCAGACACCCAGTCAGGGTGCTTAGTGGGAGCTCTGGGGTCAAAGAGAAGGCACACTGGGCCAGAAGTGTCTCAGAGGGCAGAAGAGCCCCTGTAGAGAGGATAAAATACCTGAGGTACTGAGGGGTCCCATAAACAATCCAGACCCTTAGCTGGAGCACTTCCGAAGGTGTGGCTGTAGCTGACCTTGACAGGGCCACCCCAGGCTTTGAAGGAAAAGAGCCTGGTGCCACCTAGCATTAGTGAAACCTCTTTTTATAAAAGAAAAGCAGAGCATGGTAGCACAGGCATGCCCTCCTCCACCCTGAGGGCAGAGGCAGGAGGACTTAGGGCCTTCAAGGCCTACAGAGTGAAACCACTAAAAACAAAACTAAAAACAAAACAAAAACAACAACAACCAAAAACCTACTCCCAAACCCAGCTCTCTGTGAGTCCCTCAAACATGGCCCAGACACGAAAGCTGCGTCCCAGTGTTTCAGGGAAACAGCCCTGTGGTAGAAGGCAGTTCTCACCTTCCACCTGTGGCTCTTGGGGAATAAAGCCCAGCTTTTAGGTTTGGTGGCAACTGACTCCCCCACTGAGCCACCTTGCTCACCTCTCTTTCTTCCTTTCTTCCTGACGTTTTGTTTTTAAGACAAAGTCTCTCAAATCCCAGCCCAGCCTCTAACTTGCAGTGTAGGGAAGGCTGATTCCTGCCTCCACTTCCAGTGGCTGGATGATGCAATCTTACAGCTTGTGACCAGTGCGCCTGACACCAGGGACAAGCATCACTGACAGGCAAGGTTAGTGGCCGTGGTCGCTCAGGGTTTAGCTTTTCACAGGCAAAGAATGAGTTTGGTTAATTTCCCTACTGTTGCATACAATGAAGAACAGAGCCATTTGCCTTCTGGTCTTTGTCTTCTGGTCCAGACACTGTGCTGGGGGGGGGGGCGGCCGTGAGGGGGGCGACGGGGCAGACATTTCACCTGACACAGAATACCAAAGCCCTCTCTCTTGGCTCCCCCCAGCCTGTGGATACGGAGAGACAGTGGGCTGAGGAGAGAGGCAACCTGCCTGGGTCTGCATCTGAGAAGCCGTCATCGTGCATGGGGACCCCCACAGTTCCAACTCCAGAATAAGGCTTTGTCTCTTACTTTCCCAGAGAGGACTTCTGGGCTCAGACACTCCAAGGGGTAGAGAGGTCAAGGGTAAGCTGTCTAGACAGTGGGAGGGGGAGGGGCAGGGGAGGGTAGAGGAGCTCTCCTAGTGTACAGCAAGGTCACCCTGGGGGCGAAGGCACAAGCAGCCTGTGTACACAGCAGCTGGTCTGCCTTCCAGCAGACACTCCTCATACAAAAGCACCTACAGTCTGCTTTTCCAGCCTTCCCCGCCTCGGGGCCCACCCTTTTCTGAAGGTTTGCATGCCGGCTTGGGAAGGACATGAGATTCCCCATTTTAGCTGAAGCTATCAATTTAAGATCTGTCTCCAAAGCGGTCTCAGAGGCTTAACCCCGTCATCCCTGGGACCCGGAGGCAGGGAATTCAAGGTCACCCTCAGCCACATAGTGTGAAGCCAGCCCAGACTACACAAGACCCTGTGTCACCCCCCGCCTCCCCCCAAAAACAAATTCAAAACATTAGTGCCCACTATGGCGATCCAGCCTCTTCCTTGCAGCCTGGCCCTCCGAGGGGACTTGGCAAACATTGGAGTGGCCCAGGGGTAGCATGTTGGTCCGAAAGCTACATTCCTACACCTAAGTTGAAAATCAGACATTTTCTCAGACTGGCTGAGAACCCAGACACCACCATGGCTGTCCCTACACATGTCCCTGGCTTCAGATTTATGTCAATGCTACTTCTCTTCTACCACTGGGCTAGCTTTCTACTTTGCCATTGCTGGTAAGGGCCAGCTAGGCCCAGGTCAGGTCCTGCCCATATGACAGTCTACCCCTCAAAGCCCCGCCCACCCCACCCCAAAGGTAGGAATGAGAAATGAAGGTCAGGGTTGGGGTGACCTGGACCTTAGGGGTCAATGTGACCAATCTAGGCCAACACCTGGCAACTACAGACCCTGACCCCACCTGCCAAGAAACAAGGAGAAAAATCAAAAGGTTTTGGATTAGGGCCAAGGGGTGTGTGTTTAAGAGATGCCTAAATAAATACCAGCCCCACATCCTGGGATCCTTGTCAGCTCAACAGTGGGGACTAGAAAATGACATGTACACCTTCCTGGCGACCAGAGGAGAAGTCTCTCAGTCCCTGAGCAGAACAAGGTGTTCCCAGCAGAGCTGGGCCACGGAAAGCCAGCCAGATCCTGCCGGGGACGTTGAGAAAATTGAGAGTGAAGCATATAGCCCATAGTCTGAGGAAGATTTGCCAGGCACTGGATACACCTGAAGCAGGAGGACTGCCACAAGTTAAAGGGCCAGCCTGAGCTACAGAGTTCAGGTACAACTCTGCCTCAAAACACAAAAAAACAGATATATGGGAACCAAAATCAGATCCATCTCTGTCATCTCAGGGGGTGGCTGAGGCTAGATGGCCGTGAGTTCAAGGCCTGCCTTGTCTACATGATGTCTCAAAAACCCAGGGCCCTGGGGGATCCCTTACTCCCGAGCCCCCACAGGCAAAAGAGCCATACACTCCCCCCCACACACACACACAGCTAGCTGGGAGGCTGTAGGGCCTCTCCCTCTAGGAGAAGGTGTTAGTACAGGACTGTGCGGCAGAGCCCTGGTTAAATGCTGGTCCACACCCATACATGTTTTTGCAGGGGCAACAAGTCACCCCAGGGCACTCCAGGGTACTCTCACCCCTGAGATTCGGAAGGAGAGCCAGCTGCTCAGGTCTCCATGTGGCGACAGATAAGCTCCAGACACAGGATCAACGAAGATGACAAGAAGAAACCACATCAGAACAAGGAACACTAGAGCTTAAAAGTAGCTGGGTCCAGCACATACGCTATCATAAGCCCTGCACTGGGTAGGCAGAGGTAGGAGGGTCAGGAGTTCAAGGTCAGCCTCAGCTACAGTGACTTGGAGGCTAGCCTGGGCTATAGGAGACCCAGTCTCACAAACAATGAGAAGATTCAGGGACGAGACGTCACTTCAGAATTCAGATCCATCAATCCCACGGGGACACAGAGGCCTGAATCCATCCACAGGAGGGAAGGTGGCATCAACACAGATGTGGCTTCACTGGGAGGAACTGGACTTGGTCTTGGAAGGTGTCCAGGTCACATGTCACACCCACCCTTCCTGAGAGCCTCTCCTCCTGGCTTAGAAGTTCAAAGTCAGCCAGAGACAAAGGCTGGCTAGAGTCCCTGGCACACTTCCAAATGCAGGTCACCGGATATCTCTGTGGCTGATCCGACATGCAGGGACATGCCTGAGCACCGCAGCCTCTCCTCCCAGGTCCCGAATAACAGGATATTAGAGGCTGTCTATCTCAAGATGGAGACAATCTACAGATCCCGGGTGATGGTTCACACTGTGGTTTCTGGGTCCCAGGTGGGCCATGTATGGTGGCAAACACCTGTCCTCCCAGCTTAGGAAGCTGAGGCCCGAGGATCAGGAGTTCACATAAGGTCAGCCTGGATTATACAATAAGTTCAAATGGCCAGCCTGAGCTACCTGGGACCCTGTCTCAAAAAACAACAAATACCTTCAAAAGTTAAGAGTCTCTAAATATTTAGAGTCTAAAAAATGAAAAAGAGAATAAGAAAGGTCACGGCAGGATCAGCTCCCCACAGGCACCAGAAGCCACTGTGGCCAGGCCCTTGGTGGCACAGCAGCCTGCTTTTCCAAGTAAAGGGAACCCACTATGGAGAGCCAAAGTATGATGGTATTTTCAGGGCAGGAGGCAAAAGAGGCCTCCCTCCCCAGAACAAAGAAAAGACACTTGTTGGCTGGACCTGAAGTCTCACCAATGGGAATATAGATTAGTCTGTTCCCTGATCGAGCACTGAAGGGGAGGCGGGCACAACAGAGACTCATAGCGACAGAGACAACACGACAGAGACTGGCAGAGAGACAGAAAGACAGACACAGAGATGGAGACAGAGAGAAGATAGAAAAGGCAACCAAGTCCCAAGTGGCTTTGGGGGAGACCGTCCAGGTTCAGGAAATGGATCAGAGCTAATCTACTTTATGATGCTCTGTGAGGCCCCAGCCACAAGGAAAACTTCAACTCCTTGTCCATAAACCTGAAAACGCAGACTGTGTCAGGGCCAAGGTAGTGCCATGGCAGGCGTGCAGGCCACTAGCCTCTGGCCATCTTGTCCAAGCCCTGGCCTCTGAGCACAGCAGAAGTGTCCCCAGATGATATCCAGAAGGAGCTCTCTCTATCACCGCCGTTTTGGTCCACCAGGAGGAGAGGCAGATGAGTCAGGACCCTCCATGGCCCAGTTATGCCCCCTCTCACAGCACCCAGGTGTACATGGCCTGTCAGAGCTGGTGGCAACAGCTGATGTCTCCCTCTGCCTGCTCCAGGACACCCAGCATCTCCTCGATGATGGCCCGTAGTGCCCGGCCTAGCTGGTCGGCATTGTAGGGCTTGCCCAGCGGGGGCACATGCACAAAAGCGGAGCGGCCACGGCCCTGGTAGAGCGATGTATAATACGTGAAGTCACACAGGTACCTGAGACAGACAGGAGTCACAGTCAGTGAGTCCCAGGCCAAAGTCGCCAGGCTTCTGAAAAGTCCTTCTGTGCTATGGGAGGTGGAGGAGAATCTAGGGGTCTGGAATGTGGGGGACCCTGGATGCCTACTCTCTGTTTTCTAAAAACTTATTTTGCTGGGCGTGAAAATCCCAGCAATCAAAAGGCAGAGGCAGGTAGATGTCAGGCTGAGGCCAGCCTGGTCTATGTAGAGTTCCAGGCCAACCTGGGCTACACAGAGAAACCTAAGGTGGAGAGTGACTGAGGAACTCGTCTACCGTTTGGTCCCCAGCCTCCCTGCTGGAAAGGAAGCCCCCGGGGCCTGGCGCCCACCTGCCAGCGTCCTGAGAGATGGTAACGGACACGTCCAGCCCCAGCGTGGTCACCCTTTTGCACACGGCGTCCATGTCAATGATGGAGTCGATGCTCTCAGGACCATCCTCTACACAGCACTGCGAGCCGGGGCAGAATCGGCAATTATCCAGTCCTCTGTAACCCTTGTTGTGGCCACATTTTTCCAGCGTCACTGTGGTAGCCATGCCCGACACCCCGACATGCACCACGAGCTGAGGATGAGGGGCGGGTTAGCGGGAGGAGACACCCACCCCATACACCAGGAATAAGAGCAGTGAGTCTCTGATGTTGCTACAAAATGAGCTATCACATGGCTTCTTAGGAGCCCAGGGCAGGCTTTGGCTTCACCTTTGATGCAGGGTTTCAGTCTCTCATGTAGCCCAGGCTATCCCTTAATTCATGACTGCTGAGGTGATGGCTATCACTGTACCTTCCTTGCTTGAGGTGTGTTTTGAAAATTATTTTTTTATTAATATTTTCTTTGGTGGTGCTGAGCGGACACCAGGGCCTCACATACTCATATTTAACTGTAACTTGCTCAAACCCATCCTGGCTGCTGCACAACACAGAAGACAGCCAGGCCCTGCCAGGTCCCCGGTCTGTCTTCCTTTCTCCCGTCTATAAGAATCCACAGAAGTGTAAGGCTGCGGTGTGGCACTGGCCTTATGGTCGGTCTGAATGAGAATGGCCCCAGAGGTTCATATATTTGTGTGCTTAGTCTCCAGGGAGCAGTGGACCCCTTGGGAAGGATTAGGAGGTGTGGCCTTGTTGGAGGAGGTGAGGGAGTGGGGAATGTGCTGAGGTTTCAAACACTCAGTCTGTGTTTCTCTCTGCCTGCTACTGCCCCACGCCTGCCCCTCGTGCCTGCCTGCCGCACCTCCGGAAGTGATGACTGCGGGCTACCCGTTAGAAACTGAGCACACCCTAGTCAGATATTGGATTTTGTGAGTGACCGTGGCCATGGTGTCTCTTCATGGTGACAGAACAGTGACTAGGCTGGAGCGGGTGCTCCTGACGGCTGCTCACCTGGGGGCTGTGTTTCTCCCATAGCGCTGGGATGAGCCTCTGCACAGTCTGGTATTCCACAGGGATCTCGTACACGTGCAGGTCCACGCTGTCCCCAAGGCCCAGCTTCTCCAGCTCCTGGAAGGAAAAACAGGTATGAGGACGAAGGGGCTAGAAGGAGCCTTCCTGTCTCCAGACACCAGGCGGCTCAGCTGGGTGTGACACACAGCACTTGGGAGAAGGAGGCAGGATCAGGAATTTAAGGCCATCCTCAGCTACACAGAAAAACTGAAGGCAGCCTCAGCTACATGAGACTCTGCTCCTCCTCAAAAAACGGTCTTGGCAGCACGTAACCCACTGAGCAGCCCAGCTCACCAGCAGGTTTCCCTGTGACCACAGCACGTAACCCACTGAGCAGCCCAGCTCACCAGCAGGTTCCCTGTGACCACAGCAGGGCTGCCTAAGGAAGAGTCAGTAGTAACCCATTTCTGCAACTGTGACAAAGACCACGTTATAAAAATGGAGGTTGAGACAGGTATCACTGTCATAGTACTGAGAATTGTTTTAATAGTTGAAAGGCTGAGGCAGGAGAATTGCTGCTACATTAAAGCCAGCCTTCTCTTCTACATCATGAATCCCAAGCTAGCATGGGCTATATAGTGAGATCCTGTCTCATGCAAACAAGAGACAAAAAAGCAAAAAAGGTCTGAGGCTGAAGCTCAGCTGGTGAGCATAGCCGTGGCTCAGCTGGGAGAGTGTTCAACCAGCATGTGGGGAAGGGAGGCCTGGGTTCCTGCCCAGCACCACAGAAGCTAGTGTGCCCAGTGTACATGCCTGTCATCCAAACACTTGAGAGGTGGAGGCAGGGGGATCAGGAGTTCAAAGAGACCCTGTCTCAACAAACCCGCACCTTAAACTCAAACAAAGAAAGACACAAAACCTGAAGGAATTAAAAAACCCAAAGGACTAGTTTCTTTGGGTTTGCTGTGGGGTAGGGGAAGAGCGCCACCTGCTGGGTGAGTGGGGAAGGGGCAAAGAGTAAGCTGCAGCCATGGCAACTGTATTTGATGGACTTTGGAACTTCACTAATAAACAGGAAGTCCCCCAGCAGATCAGATGGTGTGAATCACTGAAGTGCTGAGGCAAGAGGATCGCTGTGAGTCCCAGGACAACCCGGGCTGCCATGGGACCCTATCTCAAACACCACAACAGGGCTGGAGAAGAGGCAGGAGCACCTGAGGTCAGTGCCCTGTAGCTCCATCTCTGAGGCCCGGGCCTCTGGAGGCCTGGGCACACGTGTGCCTCCCACAGCAGACGTTTACATGTGCATGATTTAAATAAATCTAACTTAAAAACCAAGATAGAACAAAAGGGCAGCATCACAGCCTGTCTCCCATACCTACTACGGGAGATGGAGGCAGGAGGATCAGTTGTTCAAGGCCAGCCTGGGCTATAAGAGAAATAAAAAAATAAAAAATAAAAAAAATAAAAATAAAAAAAGCAGAGAGCCCAGATGTGGCAATGCACACATTTAATTCCAGCACTTGAGAGGCAGAGGCAGGAGGATCTCTGTGAATTTGAGGCTGGCCTGATCTACAGGGCAAGTTGCAGTATAGCCAGTGCTACTTAGAGGGACTATCCCTAAAGCACCAAAACCAAAACAAACAAACACTAAAACAAGTAAACCACTCCATAGCCTTCCACCCTACACCCCTTTTCAATGTGTGCCCAGGAGCCTTGGTGATGCCCAGTCGCGCCCACATGCTTGACTTGAATCAGGGTGTAAATCTGTAGTTCACAAAAGCAAGAAATAAAATCAGGATCCAGGCACCAAGACCATTCACCAACATCCAAACTCTTCAAGGGGTACACTCAAGGCAGAACAGGGCCCCCCCAACCATGGACACACACATCGCGCCACCCCGGGAGACCGGTTCTCACCAGCACTGGGGACCACAGTGCTTTAGGGTTTGAAGCTGACTAAGCCAGCACACACCTGTCATGCCTACACTGGAGTCTGAGACAGGAGAACAGAGTGTGAGGCAGCCTGGGCTACAAAGCGACACTGTCTCCAAAAGGAAAAAAAAACGGTTAAATTTTCTGTTAGGGAATAGTTGCTCCTGTTTCTAGCCAGGATTAACTATGCCCATGCTAGTGCAGGCTTTCTAGTCCCCCTGCCTTTGTCTCCCTAGCGTTGGGATGGCGGCCATGGGCCACCACACCACTATCTCACCATCATCTTTGAGAAGCTCCCCAAGAATGAATTCCATGGCACTGCCTCCCTCAGGAATCTGCTCACACTGCTACAAATGGCTGCCTGGGCCCCCAGAGACTCCTCATGCAATTCCCACAGGTCCCACACTGTTCCCAATGGTGACCTCATTAAAAGTGCCCAAAGCAAGATGGAAGGACAGACACATGACAGGACAGTAATGACAGGAGACTGAGGAACACCCTCAAAGGAGTGACGCTGTCAGCTCATCATCTCTGCAAGGCCAAGGCAAAGACTCAGGCGTTCTTAGCTGATAGTGAGTTTGAGACTAACCTGGGTTACTTGAGACCCTGTCTCAAAAAACAAACAAAATGCCAGGCACGGTGGCACACAGCTTTAAACCCAGCACTTGGGACACAGGAGCAAGAGGATCTCTGACTTCAAGGCCAACCTGGATTACATAGTGAGTTCCAGAATAGCCAGAGCTATACAGAGAAACCCTGTCTCAAAAAACAGACAAAAGACATGCCCCCCCATACACAAAATCCATGGCTGAGATCTGGCTGGGGTTCACCCTCATCCCATGGCACCCTCAAACAACAGGACACGCACGCACAGGGTAAGTGGGTGCGAGCCAGTATTTAATGTCCCTGCGAAGGCTAGGAACTTCCAGAAGACTAGAACTCTTCAGTGCTGACACTCTGTTTTTTTTTTTGGGGGGGGGACTCTATGGCTGAGAAGACCAGTGTAGTGGGGACTGATCACAGATGTGCAAGTAATGTCACCCTTCACCAGGTTCTGCCTTTTGTCCCTGGACACCTGGTTCTAGCCCTCCTAGGAGAAGAGGGCTGTGAGCCCCAAATCCCACTTCCTGAATTCTGGTCAGTACCCAGCACCTGGAAAGCACCAGGCAGGGTGCAGCTGTGGCATTGTCCCTGGTCATCTACCTGAAAAGACCCTGTCGCAAAAGCAGGCATGGCTGCATCTGACCAATTGATTTCCTTGACCCCAGCACAAAGCCCTCTTTGTTTGCTGGCACCCTTAGCCGGTCTGTCTAGACTTGCGGTGGCAGTAATTATCCCTGGATGTCACCACATCTGTGGCCCACTCAGGGAGACTATGCAGAAAAGAGCCAGAGTCAGCCTGGTCCTTGACGTCCACCTGACCCTCCCAGGAAGCAGCCTGCCACCCTAGACCTGGGGGGAATAAAGAGAATGCTAGTGAGGGTCCCCTCTGCAACCCCAGCACTTGGGAAACTGAGGCAGGAGAATCAGGAGTTCAAGGTCAGCCAGAGTGAGATCCTGTCTCAAAACTTAAAAAAAAAAAAAGTAAGGCTCAAGGGTGATGAAGCCTGCGGTCCAGCCTGGCCTCCATGCTCTATCCTGAGCACCCACACAGTGAGAGGAGAGAAGCTGACCCGCATGCTGCCCCTGACCTCCACATGTGTGCCCTTCCACACACACAATAATCAGATGCATAAACAAACAAAACATTTTCAAGGACCGGGCTAAGGAACAGTCTTGGTCTTTCACGACACGGAGTTTCCCCACATCCCCAAAGCTCCAAGGGAATCTTCGCAGACTGTGTAACTGATTTCCCATTTACATGCAGACGGTGCTGTCCGGCCAGGAATCCAGACACTGGCTTTGTGTCCACTCAGCCCGTGAAGCCTCCCGTCTGTAACTCGCACAAAGCCAGACACACAAGTCTTCTGAGACACACTGGGGCTTTTTGTCTGCTGCTCCCGGGAGTAGATGTGCAGCGGGGCCCGGCCCCACCCATCTGCAAGGTCCCTGGGACCCCAGGCTCCTCCATCCGGCTTGCAGAGTATCAGTGGAAAGAGGAGGAGGTGGTAAACCAGCTGAGACTTCTGAGCTCTGCAGTGTGGGGACGGTGACAAGCTGGTGGCGGGGGACGTGGGAGTCTCGGGTGAGAAGAGAGAACCCTTAAATCACACAGCTAATGGGCTAAAATTAATCCTGGTCTGGCTGCCGTCTCAGCCAGTTGTTTATCAAAGAATCAAACGTCTGTCTCTCTCTTTCCACTCAACTGTTCCCTAGTCTGTCTGTCTGAATATCCCATCTGGCAAGGAAACACAAGTTAGTAGAGTCACTTCTTGGATGGGACTCTGGGAAGAGACACCCCTCTGAGGTTCCCAGTGGAGACTGAGGCTTGCCCCAGGACGCCCACTTGATCCTCAGCCTAGATAGGACCTGCTGGGACACACCCACCTTTTGTAAATTAGTTTTCCATTTTAGCCAGGGTCTCAGTGTATAGCCTTGGCTGTCCTGGAACTTGCTCTGTAGACCAGGCTAGCTTAGAATTTATAGAAATCAGCCTGCCTCTGCCTCCTGAATGCTGGGATTAAAGGTGTGTCCCACTACACCAGGTCAATAGAACGGGTTTTCAACTACTGCTCAGGAGGCTGAGGCAGGAGGACCATGAGTTGGAAGTTAGCTTGGGCTATATACAATGACATCTTGAGTTAAAAAAAAAAAAACAGTCAAGGTTAAAGTTCAACGTTAAATTGTATTAAATACTTGGAAAGACACTCAGCTCCAGGCAAGGCTCCTCCCTCAGATAAGAGTTACCTGGACAAGTGCTGGAGAGATGGCTTAGAGGTTAAGAGCACTGACTGTTCTTCAAGAGGTCCTGAGTTCAATTCCCAGCACCCACATGGTGGCTCACAACCATCTGTAATGAGATCTAATGCACTCTTCTGGTATGTCTGAAGACAGCTACAGTGTGCTCATATGAAAAAAAAAATTTTAAAAAAAGCCGGGCGTTGGTGGCGCACGCCTTTAATCCCAGCACTTGGGAGGCAGAGGCAGGCGGATTTCTGAGTTCGAGGCCAGCCTGGTCTACAGAGTGAGTTCCAGGACAGCCAGGGCTATACAGAGAAACCCTGTCTCGAAAAACCAAAAAAAAAAAATTAAAAAAAAAAAAAAAAGAGTTACCTGGACAGCGATCCAACTGGCATTCACAGTATGCTCCCCAAAAGGGCCGAATCCTGAAAACAGGAAAAGAGATGTTACGCTCTCTTCCTACCTCCGAGTTCTGAAATCTCATCCTCAGACACATCCCCATTCTAGTTTCTTGCCAGCCCTTCCAGGTATGTCCCAGCTATGGGCAGTGGCATCTGCTCGCTGAGTCCTGGGGTGACAGGCACAGGCTTCCTTATCCTGCTTAGGTCCTCACACCTGGGAGGACCCAGTCAGCCTCTCTCTACTGCTCTGCTCTCCAGCCAAAACCCAACACTTTATCATTGTCTGGGTGGGGTTGACTCCCAATTCTGGAGGCCCAGGGTTGTAGGCCACCATGAGTCACCACAGAGGCTGGGAGAGGGTGTCTCCAGGACACACGGTACCTGAACACCAGGCTGCTTCTGCTTTTGGTCAGTTCAACCTTCAACCTCCAGGTCTGACCAAGTCAGACCCCATAGCGCTGTGGCATTTGGCTTTATCTCCTCTGAAGACAGGGCTTCCCCGGCCTAATTGTCATGAACAAGAAGTGATGCAGAGAGAGGGAGCTGACTCCATCAAGTCACACAGCAAGAGTGTGACGAGGCTGGGATTTCAATCCACACGGGTAACTTGGTCTCCTTCTCTAGCCACTGGGTTGCCAAGAAAAGTTAAATTGAGAAAACGAAAGAGAAAAACAAAAAACAGCCCACCCACCTCCAGGTGCCCTGGTGCACACCTGCAGACCCAGACTCCCGAGACTGCGACAAGAGAATTGTTTCAGGTCAACCCAGGCTACATGAGACCCTGCTTCAAAATAAATAAATACAGTTGGAAAAATACCTCAGTAAGCTGCCACACCAGGACCTGAGTTCGGCTCTCCAGCACCACATAAGTGCACAGTGCGGTGGCACACACTTGCTCTCCCAGGGCTGGGGAAGCAGAGACAGGCAGTCCCAGGGGCCCTGGTCAGTGTGACCTACTTGGCAAGCTCAGGAGCAGTGGGTCTCAGCCTTCCTAAGTGCCACCCTCCATAATCTTTGCTACTTCATAACTAATTTTGCTACTGTCATGAATCTGTCTTTCCCCACAGCCTGAGGTGACCCCTGTGAAAGGGTCAATTGGCCCACAAAGGGGTCATGACTCACAGGTTGAGAAATGCTACCTGAATGTGTCCTAAATTGAGACATTTTCTCAAAACAGAGGTGGATGGAGCCTGGGGAATGACACCCAAGGTTGACCTCTGGTACACACACACACACTTCTAAGAACCTGGGTTAGTGTAACTCAGGTGGTAAGAGTCCCACCTGCTGTCAGTGTTAAGAGGTTTAGAGAGGGCCACCATGCCTCAGGACAGCAGGTAGAGGTCACATCTTGGGGGCATCTCATCATGGTGGCACATGCTGCTCACCCTAGCATTTGGAAGGCTGAAGTTATATAATCATCCTGTGTCTGTAACCACCCTTGGTCACAAAGTAAGTTCCAGGTCAGCGGAACAGTGCAACAGAATGAGACTCTATCTTAATAAACCAACCAACCAAATAAACACCCCCACCCCACCCCCAACCCCAGAATGCTCCAAGGATCAGGGACATAGTGGCTCAGCTCACACCTGTTACTGCAGGGAACAGCAGGGAGAAAGGTCCAACCTTCCTTAGTTACAAAACACCTGTAGGAGTGGGAGTTTTCCCTGGCTCACTCCCAGTGGCCGCTCAGGGCAGAGGCTAACCTGAGTGCCCTCTTCCAAGGCCTGGTGGAGTTGACTCCACCAAGTGGCCCCAGGCTGAGTCTCAGGAATTAAGAACAGTTGGCTTCCGGGGGTGTTGGTGACAGTAGGAGCTGGTCTCTGGAGTCCCTGGGTCATTCCGGGGTCAGGCTGACGCAGGCCCAACACCTGCCCCAAACCAGGTTGCAGGCCCCTCCAACAATGCAAGGTGCCAGGGGCAGAGGCTGAGGGGATCGTGTGTCACCGGGGCATTTCCTGGCCGTAAACCTGTCTTTGTCCCCGGGGTCAGGCCGGAGCTCTGAAGGGTAAAGGAGGGACTGCAGTGCGTGAGGTGACCCGTCTGCACCCCAGTCCCCCCCGCACTGCGAACTCCCGGCCGCGTGACCCCAGACTTTTCAGGTTACCGGGGCCGAACGGTGCTATCGCGGGCGGCGACAACTGCAAACCTGTGGCAACCGCGAGCACCTGCCCCGCCGCCCCCGGTCCGGCCGCACCTACCGGTCACCACCACCGCCTTCCGCGGCTGCTCCATGGCTGGATGCGCTCTCTCTAGTACCGTGGCGGTGGGGACTGGAGCGGACACCGACCCCGGAGCCCCGCCCGGCCGCCGGCCCCGCCCCCTAACGCTGGGCCTGCGCGGACACGCCCCGGACACGCCCCCGACCAGCTGTACGCGCCCCTGCGCGGCCCCGAGGGTTCCGACGAGCCCTACGCGCACCGCTACACCCCAAACCCCAGCTCCCCCGCGGAGCCAACGCTAGGCCACACCCCTTAGGAGCCACACCCCTAGCCAACCCCGCCCCCACCTTCCAAATACCCTCCTCCAGGTCCTGTAAGGGCCCCGCCACGCCCCCAAGAGTCACGTGCCTCTAGCCGTCCAGACGCTCAGGCCGGGGTCACGCTTCAGCCAGGTCTCAAGCTCCCAAGACACTCCTAAACCCATCCTTGAAACAACTGGGCCTAGGTCACGTACCCCCGCCTCCCCCGACGCAAGTGCAAATCCGCCTCGATCCTGTCAAAGCCAGGCCGCAGTCCGTATTTCCACCCGCGACCCGTGACATCCCTGGCTCAAGCCACGCCCTCCGAAACTTCCATCTAAGATCTACTCCGCCCCGAACCCACCTAGGGCAACGACCCCCTTCCCAGTAAGCCGCTGAAACGCAGGGCTGGGCGTGCGTACCGGGTCTCCATCTAGGCTCCGCCCCCAGTCTAACCCCGCCAGGTCCCCAGTGGGGACTGGAGCGGACACAAACCCCCGAGCCCCGCCCGGACGCCCGGCCCCGCCCGCTGGGCTCTCAAGCCTACCTGGAGCCATGCCCCGCCCCAAGCACCGACCGCCCCAGGCCACCTCCTCTGGTCCCCTTGCCTGGCCACGCCCATTCTCAGCCGGGACTCTCCCCCTACTTGTTTTTAAGCCCTGCCTCCAACACTTAAGTGGGCAATGGGGGTGTGATCGGCTCCACCCTTCTCAGCCTCAGTTTCTCTTTCTGTAAGTCAGGGACGTAGGGCGAGGGAACAATTTGATTCCGTTCACTCATCACAGTTTACAAACAGGGACACTGAGGCATGGATCTGAGGAAGACAGATGGGTCACCCCAGCAGAAAGCTGAGGGAGGGGCTCAGGAGGAAGGGAAAGCGTACCCGGTGCTTTTGCTCACTGCCAACATGGCTAACTAGCCACTGGCCGCAAGGACTACTTCCTTCCCGAGGCTCCTGGTTGCACCTTACCCCAGACTGTTCACAGCCCAGACTTCCTCCTGTGGTCCTTCTCCAACTGTCACCTCCTTTAAAGGACGCTGTTTTTCCATCCTCTACCTGGACACCCTTTAGGCTCATCTTAAGGAGGCTCCATTTTTCTAATTTGTTCTGTGTTTTTAAAAATCTGGTTCGTTACTATGGTGTGTGTCACTTCATCTGCTTTAGGTGTTAGCCTGATATGGCAGGGTCTTTTGCTGAAGGGTGGTATGTGACCTGGTGCCCAACCACCACTTGGGCCCCTGGGACATCCCCTGCCTATCCTGTAATCCTCTATTATGATTTCTGCAGAAACACCAGAAAGAGAAAACAGAACCCCCGACTGTGTCCCTAGAGGCAGGGTGGGAGCCTTACTGAGCCCCGGCATCTTGTTCCAAGCAGCTGTGACCCCAGGTTCCAGGACACTGGAGGAGGACTGGCTCCTATGCACCAGCCAAGAACCCTTCCTCTGACTTCACAGCATACAAACAGACGTACATAACCTAACTGCATCATGGTATGTTCTGTGGGGTGGTTGTAAGGGAGAGGAGGGGGTCAGGAGGAGAGGGAGAGAGAGAAGAGAGAAGAGGGAGAGAAGAGAGAGGAGAGAGGAGAGGAGAGGAATAAGGAGAATGGGGGAGGGGCGTCGTTGGACTGAGTTTAGGCTGGGGAAGAAGGCGGGAAGGGCGAGCAAGAACTGTGAATTGTGAGCCTGATGCTTGTGGTACCGAGTGAGCCTGGAGGCCAGCGTGTGCTCTGGTCTGATGAAAGGCTCCATGGGCAGCCATCTGTTCCTTCTGCCAGAAATAAGAGAAAGAAATGACTCCTTTTGGTAGATGGGAAATAATTTCCAAGTTCCTGAGGAATTCTGGCATTTACCTAACTGCTAGAAATCTTCCCGTAGCCCAGATTGAACCTATCTCTGGATATCTAGACTGCATTTTGGTGTTTGGAGAAATAATTTCCTTTGGACCTGACACCAGGGAGTCCTATGTACAAGCCCAGGCTGGAAGTCAACTCAACAGAGCTTATTTGAACTCTGGTAGCCTCGGGGGGCTTGGAACATCTGAGAGCTCACCCAGGTCCCATGCCAACTATTCAGCATCCCGATACACACCCCAGAGCCACACTCATAGTCCAGGGGTACCCAGAAGGCTGCAACCAACTATAACTTTAATTATTTTATTTTATTTTATTTTATTTTATTTTTTTTTGGTTTTTCGAGACAGGGTTTCTCTGTATAGCCCGGGCTGTCCTGGAACTCACTCTGTAGACCAGGCTGGCCTCGAACTCAGAAATCCGCCTGCCTCTGCCTCCCGAGTGCTGGGATTAAAGGCGTGCGCCACCACCGCCCGGCTTTTTATTTTATTTTTAAAGAAGGTTTTTTAAATGCTTTAACCTCCCTTTTAGCCCACCACCCTCCAGAAGTAGTAGAAAAGAATGGATAAGGGATAAAGTGGACCTGTTTAGAATGGTTCTTTGGAGCAACTCCCATCTGTGTTGTCTGGAAATCAGCAGTTCAGTTCACAGGTTAGCAGAGGCAGCTCGATCCACTTGCAAACACTTCACAGATACACCAGCCGTCCATTCAGTAGTTGGGATAGCAAACATGAATCAGCACTGGTGGCACTACCTAACAGAGACAACCAGGCCTCAGCCTCCACAGGAGTCAGAGGAGGGACCAGGAGGGACAGCAGGAGTTCTCAGCTGTGCCTCTCTCGGTGAAGTGACGATCAGCGAAGACAAGAGAGCCACACGTTGAACAGCTCGCTCTATGTGCAAGCTGAGTCTCCATCGCTGTCTGTTGGGCCTATCTACTCCCTCCAAACACCGTGCATCTTGCCTCCCCAAGAGCAACTGTATCCGCTGACATCACTCTGCCAATCAGGTGAGTCTGAGGAAGCAGCGAGAAACTGCAGCACACCATCAAAAGGTTTTAGTGCGTTTGTCTCTATGGAGTCTGGACAAATGCAGCTCAACTACACAGTGTAAGGCAGACCAACACGTGCGTGTCGTTAGTTCATCACGTGTCCTTTCACGTGCTTGCTTTCGCAGAACATCCTTTCTCCTGTGTCCACTTCTGCTAAACGTTTCCACTTCAACCAACTGTGGATCAAAACTCCCCAAGGGAGCAGGTATGGGGGACATAGGTCAATGGGAACAATGCCCCCACAGCATAAGGATCCAAGATCAAATCCCCAAACATGCATGAGTGGCTGTGTATGGCTGTGCACACTCCCCTCTAACATCAGCACTAGGGGTGGAGACCAGAGGATCCCTGTGCCTACCAGCCTGCCCAGCCAATTGGAGAGCTCTGTGCTCAGGGAGAGACTCAGCTTCAAAAAACTAAGGCAGAGATCAATAGAAGACACTGTATTGACCTCTGACCTCCATATACACATACCCCAAATCACCCAACAGGGAGAGGGCAGAGAGAACACTCAGGGAGGCCCAGGGACCTGCAGGTCTCTGGGCAGTTAGTTGGTGGGTGACAGGGAAGGAAGGAATCTTCAGTGCGCAGCCACTGGTGCCACCTCTATGAACCCGAGTTAAACTCAGTGAGTAAAAGAGAACAAACAAAATAAGCCAGGAGGAAAGGAGATGCAGGAGGAGGCTGGGCACACCCAGAGGTCCCTCAGGAATAGGACTGGAGGACAGGAGGGGGCTGGGCACACCCAGCAGTCCCTTGGGAACAGGCTAGAGGACTGGGGAAGCTGCGGCCCAGAATCTCACTGTGCCAAGTCCAAACAAGAAAAAACGCCTGGCCCGTGGATCAGAGGGAACTGCTGGCCCATGAGACACTGGGAGTTCCAGGACAGCTCCAGCAGAGATCCCTGAGGAGAGCTCTGGGGTCACCTGGCAGCTGCAGGGATCATTGCCTTCATCTCTGCTTTCCCTATGTTGATCTTCCACTCTGAGCTTTGTCCAGCCTTGCTACAAAACTTGCTATTTTAAAGTAAAATTAAGACAATGTTTCATGTAGCTCAGGGTAGCCTTGAACTCCCTACACAGCTAAAGATCTTCTTGCCTTCTCCACCTCCCCAGCCAGGGCTGAGATGATGGTGTGGCCACCATGCCCATTTTTTGTTTTTGTTATTTATTTATTTATTTATTTATTTATTTATTTATTTATTTATTTAATGTATGTGAATACACTATTGCTCTCTTCAGACACACCAGAAGAGGGCATCAGATCCCATTACAGATGGTTCTGAGCCACCACATGGTTGCTGGGAATTGAACTCAGGACCTCTGGAAGAGCAGTCAGTGCTCTTAACTGCTGAGCCATCTCTCCAGCCCATGTTTTTGTTTTTTAAAGTTTTTTCTTTGTATTATATTTTCTATTTTGTCGGGGGGTGGTGGCGCGCGCCTTTAATCCCAGCACTTGGGAGGCAGAGGAAGGCGGATTTCTGAGTTCAAGGCCAGCCTGGTCTACAGAATGAGTTCCAGGACAGCCAGGGCTACACAGAGAAACCCTGTCTTGAAAAACCAAAAATAAATAAATAAATAAATTCTATTTTATTTGTTTGTTTATTCC